TCCATTGCTTCTTTTAGTTTGACATTGTTAATCATGTCACGTGCCATGTGAGTAGGTCAAGGACATAGTAAAAAAAACCAAGCAAAAATTAGGTAGCATGGTTTTCAGAGGCTTTGGCATGAATTGTTTTCATGAAGTCCTTCTTGTCTCCTAGAAATCACCTGCTGTCAAGGTGACCCATTTCCAAGGGTGCATGGGAGAGGCATCCCTGAATGGCAAGTCTGTCGGGCTTTGGAACTATGTGGAAAGAGAGGGCAAGTGCAATGGCTGTTTTGGAAGGTATTTTGCCTCATTGTCTGATTTTTGTAACAGATTTAGTCATTTCCATCTGTCATCTGTATTTCTGTGCTGGCTAAAAGTAATGAATTCAGACCAACTGCAGCCTGAATGGCAAGTCTGTCGGGCTTTGGAACTATGTGGAAAGAGAGGGCAAGTGCAATGGCTGTTTTGGAAGGTATTTTTGCCTCATTCTCTTATTTTTGTAACAGATTTAGTCATTTCCATCTGTCATCTGTATTTCTGTACTGATGTACAACTGCAGGATTTCATTGATCATAGAATCATGGGATGGGTTGGAAGGGAAGGGGACTGTCAAGGTCATCCAGTCCAACCCCCCCTGCACTGAGCAGGGACATCTGCAGCTAGAGCAGGTTGCTCAGAGCCCTGGGTGAGGCTTTATCCTTCCAGGGATGGGGCTTCCACCACTTCTCTGGGCAACCTGAGGTTGTAACCTCTCTCACCACCCTCAGCATGAAAAATTTCTTCCTTCTCTCTCTCCAAATCTACCTTCAAACACACAAAGCTGAACGTGCTGGGGGCAAAGAATTTCATTTTTCAACAGCCACTTTTTCAGAGGAATCCTGTTGCTGTGGTGGATTTTGTCCATTGAAAGCAGGGACTGCCAGTGAAGCAAACTATTTTGGAATGTTTGCTTTCCAGGGCTTTCCATCAAGACTGATTTATTCTTTCTGAGGATAAGAAACAGTGTAAAACAGTCTTATGATAAAAATTCCATAGCCAAAGTGCAGCCACTGAAGTTGTGCAAGGGGAATTGCAGATTATATTTGGTTTAAGGAATTGAAGAGAAATATGCTGGACCACGTTCCCTTCTGCAGAATGTTTTGTGTAGAAACAGCAGAGGGTGCTGCCTGATTGCAGGAGAGATTGAATTTATGTTTTTTTACAAGGATTATGTTGCAGGGAAAGGGGCTGAGAGCATATTTATTGTAAATGTCAGGACATAAAGCATTTCTGATAAATGGCTGACGTGCTTTAAGCAAGAGACTGTACATTGGAATAATTATTTTATCCCTTTAGAAATCATTTGGGGTTTTTCATCCATCAGGGAAAAACATTTTTTAACTTGTATGCATCCTTCCCTATGGCTAAATCATGTACTGTGAGGATCTATAAAGGAAGTGGCCTCTGGCTGGAAACCTTTAGTTATTTATCAAGTCCCTTTCCATGATCTCTAATCCTCCTGCCTTGGGAGGGGGGGTTGCACCAACTGATCTGATTTTTCCTGCTGTTTTCATAGAAAAATGGACTAGGAAAGCAACACTGAACTCTGATTTCTGCTTCCTCAGCCCACAGGATGAGGACACATCGTTCCACTTTGATGGCAGTGGGTACTCCCTTGTGGAGAAGGCGCTTCGCTCAACAGTGACCCAGATAATCCTCTTCTTCAGCACCTTTTCACCCAATGGGCTGCTCCTCTACCTTGCTTCAAATGGCACTGTAAGAAAATCCAGCAGATTCTTCAGCTGTTTATGTCACTTGAGGGCTTCTTGCTGCTTTCCTCATTTTTCAGCTCATAACAATTTGCTGTCTTCGTATTAATTATCAGCCATGATTGGCATTATAAGCCAAAGGATTAAAATGAGGAAGCCAAGATATAATTCTTCAGGGCAAATATTCATGTATCTTAAGGGCAAAATTGAGCAGGGAAAAGAATTCTCCATAATATGTTTTAATTCTAGACTAAAATGAATGCTCATCGAAAGGCAAGAAGAAGAAAGAGTGGGGACACCAAACTAGTTTTGTTCCATTGGAGGAGCCTTTGCAGAATGTGAAGTCTTTTGGAACTGAGCTTGCAGAAGGACAATATAATATTGAAGAGGCATCTTGAATTAAATCTAAAAGTTGAGAATTCAGTAAACTGAAACAAATTAAAGCTCCCTGAGACAACAATATGACCTAGACCCATCTCCAGACCTTCACTCCCCTGTCGTACAGTTTCTCACATATGTAGCTGGTGGGTTCCTTTTCTTGAAGGAGGACAAAGCTTTGCTTGGATACAGATTATTTTGGAGTCCATGTGTTCTTCCTGTGCTTTGTAATGTATGAAGAGGGGTATTTCTCATCAAATTCAGACAGTCTTACTGCCTGAAGAAGCTCTTTGCCTCTTGCAGAAAGCACGTGCTCGTGTTAACAATCAAATCAAATTACTCTGTACTGCATCCAAAAAGACAAATCAAATGTGAAGTTTGGGATTTAAACCTTCCTCTGCTGAGCCATCAAGCACAGTGATGCCTTTAAGAATAACAAAGCCAAACAAAAAGGCATCCTTGTGGGGTGCATGTAACTTGATTTTCTTAAATGTAGCAAAAATAACTCTCTTGGGCTGAAATAATGTAGGTACCAGGGTAACCAAACCTTTTCCACACACTAGACCAAAAGAGTTATTTATTACTAGCCCACACCTAAACTACATACACTACCCAAACACCACCATCTTAAAACCATTCCTCCACAAACACCCAATCCCAAAAAACAACAAATCCAAAACTTCCAACAACACCATCCTAAACACCAAATTCAAATAACTCTCAATCCTCTATCTCCAAACAGAAGCTTCCCCAATTCTCTTTTCCCTTTCCCTTTAGTTTTTTTTCCTCCATTACCATAATAAATTTTTATTTTCAAACTAATATATATATATATCTAATCTTAACACTAATTATTAAACATAATAAAAAACTTCAATTTATTTTCCCCTAAAAAACAAATACCACATAATCATCTCAACCTCAATTTTTTTTTCCCTAATTAAAATCACAAACAACCTAACCCAATACCCCTTCAATACCAATTTATAACACTGCCCAGGATGGATTCTTCTGGAAAGTTTTGTTTCCAGGAATTTAATCTATCTTTATTTTTCTTTTCTCTTTTTGGTGTTATTTATTCTCCCTCCCAGAGAGATTTCTTGTCCCTGGAGCTGGTTGATGGCAGAGTGAGGCTGACTGTGGATCTAGGTTCAGGACCTCTCACCCTGACAACAGAAAATCGTTACAACAATGGGACTTGGTACAAAATCTCCTTCAGTAGGAACAAGAAACAAGGTAGGCTACAGACTGAATAAAAACCAGAGCTCTGCACACTTACAGCTATCCAAGACAACCACCAGGAACATCACTGCAACCAGACTGGGTCACCTCCAGTGTAGTTTCTCCAGCAGCCACACCCATGTTAGTTTTTTTTTTGGAAGCACAGCAGCATAAATCTTGAGCTTGGTTTTGGTTTGGCACATCTTCTAAAGAGCACGTGTTGCAGAAGCTGCCAGACAAAAAACACATCCCCAGTCTTTTAAAAGAGTGAAAGATCTTTGTCCAAGGTCGTTTAACATGGATCACATGTGTTCTAATAGTGCCTAGCACCAGTTTGGCAGTTATCTTTGGGAAGTGATGCATCACCAATTATACACCTTAATAACTATAACACATTCTCATATATATGATTTTCTTTTTCCTGTAGTCTAACCCAGATTTGGTTCTGGCAGAGGAGAGGGAATGGCCTCAGCAGAATGGCTGGAAGTACAATAAATGACTCGTTCTAAAAATAAGAAGATTATCCATATGTGTTTGAGTCAGGGAACACATTTTCCTTTATTAGAGATGAGCTTGCCAAAATGGAAGATGTATTTGTGTCCCTCTCCAGGTCTATCCTCTTTTTCTTTGCAGGAATTTTGGCAGTCACTGATGCTTATCATCTTAATTATAAGGAAACCAAGCAAGGAGAATCTCCTGGGGTTGCCTCAGACTTTCGATAAGGACCCAATCTTCATTGGTGGGCTGCCAAGATCAAGGGCTGTGAGGTATAATCCTCTTGCTTTTCCCATTTTCTAAGAGCCTGGTGAGTAGAGGGAAAGGTCTTTGACACCATTTCCACTGAAATTGGTGAAAATCAGTGAAGTCTGAAGTCTTGCTCACAGGCCTGTATACCAGAGAATCACCTGTCCTTTGCCTTCAGACTCTCACACAGTTCCCTTTCACCCAAAATCCATTACATTTCAGTGAAAGATTCACCTTAAAGCTTTGGGAAATGGCCTGGCCACACAGCACCACAAGCTTGTTTCCATTTGGGGAGATGTTTTCTGACTGTTTAACATCAGAATTAATATTGGCTGGGAGTAAAATCCACCTCACCCCTTTTTTCCACTCACACTGGGCTGAATTAACTCTTCAAAAGAGATCTCTCCCTTTCTTTTTGATGAGAACTTTTCAAAGAATATTTGAAGAATCTTTTCTCCTGGGAGATTCCAAATACTGCACCTTGGAAAAGAAAAAAACAACTTGTTTTCTGTTTCAGGAAAGGCCTTAGTAGTAGGATGTATGTGGGATGCATCAAGAACCTGGAAATATCCCGTTCAACCTTTGACTTGCTTAGACATTCCTATGGAGTAAGGAAAGGCTGTGTATTGGAGGTAGGAGATTTTTGGGGGTTGTCCTGATCTTCAATGCTCTTCAACAACAAATAGTTATATTGATGAAAGAATATAGTGAGTTGAAATGAGTTTAGCTTGAAAAATTCTAAGAAATCTAATTTACACTCGAAATGTTTTTCTTGCTGGGCACTATGTAGAGTCCAGCTCACTAATTGTTTCTTTTCCTCCTAAAAATAGCCTATTCGTAGTGTGAATATCTTGAACAATGGATATATTGAGTTGGTGCCTAAGTCCTTAAGCCCAGAATCAGAACTGATGGCAACTTTTGCTACCAGGAACAGCAGTGGCATCATCCTTGCTGGACTCAGCAGGGGACTGGAGAAGCGACAACGTAGACAAGCACATCTGGCAAGTACCCAAAGCAAAGATTTGGTTTGGTTTGGTTATACCACTTTGTCAGTCTCAAGGTTTTTATGACTAAATTCCAAGGAAGGAGAATAATTTGGTGTAGGTGGGTCCAAATACAGAGGCTAGGAGAGGAACAGAGGATGGTCATTGTCTCAGAGAGGTGAAGGATCAATTACCAGGGTCCTGTCACTGTTACTAGGACTTGGAATGACTTTGCAACAATGAGGAAAACTGTGTGTAAAGTGCACACAGACCACTACAGCTATCTCATATCTGGAGTACTGTTCAGGAGCTCCTGGAATCCAAGGAGAAAGTCTTAAGAAGGGGCTGGTATTCCTCCTATTTCCTTCCTCTAAGGGGGAGCAGTGGGGGGAGGGCTTGTGTTATTTAAACCCTCCTCCATATAGACCTGAATTTTTATCACAACCAGAGAAATTTGCAGTTTTCATGTTTTCTGTTAGAGGTCTTGGCCCTCTGAGAGGTGCCAACATATGGCTGCTGCTCTTGGAGTTCCATTAGTTCACAACAAACTGGGAGGTAAATTTTTTCCACAGCATGTTCTGTTTAAACACTGAATGAAAGACAGAAAATGGAATTCTAGTTAAAAATGACTCTCCTGATTAAATCCACAGCCCTTCTTTTCCATCCTGTTGATGGAGGGGCACCTTGCAGTTCACATTAATGCTGGAGATAGAGCAAGCACTCGAAAAGTGATTCTGAGGTCTCCAAATGGAACATACAGTGATGGAGAAGAACATTCTGTCATCCTCATGAGGAATAAGAGGTGTGTGTGGCTGGGGACAGCACTCCCTGTGTGCTGCTGGCAGGTCACTGTGTTCTCCAGGGAACTGTCTTTGCCAGCTCATCTGGTGGAACAGTCAGGGCTGAGTATTTCTGCTGTTATTGGAGGTGTTCTGGTTTGTGTGGTGATTGTAAAATTCAGTCCCTGGTGGGGTTGTAGTTAAAAGTTCTCAAAACCTCTCCACAGCTTGGGCCACTTCAGTAAATTGTATTGAATAGTGGAGTGTACAGCAGTGTGCCCAGCTGGCCAAAAAGACCAGCAGCATCCTGGCTTGGAGCAGCACTAGTGTGGCCGGCAGGACTAGGGCAGGGATCATCCCTCTGGAGTCAGCACTGGGGAGGCTGCACCTTGAATCCTGGGATCAGTTTTGGGACCCTCCCTCCAAGAAGGACCTTGAGGGGCTGGAGTATGTCCAGAGAAGGGCAACGGAGCTGCTGGGGAAGGGTCTAGAGCCCAAGTGTGGGGAGGAGCAGCTGAGGGAGCTGGGGGTGCTGAGCCTGGAGCAAAGGAGGCTCAGGGGAGACCTTCTGGCTCTGCACAGCTCCTGACAGGAGCCTGGAGCCAGGGGGGGGTCGGGCTCTGCTCCCAAGGGACAAGGGACAGGACAAGAGGAAACAGCCTCAGGTTGCACCAGGGGAGGTTTAGGTTGGAAATTGGGAAGAATTTCTTTCCCTGGAGGGTTGCCCAGGGCTGTGCCAGGCTGCCCAGGGCAGTGGTGGAGTCCCCACCCCTGGAGGGACTTCCAAGCTGTGGAGATGTGGGGTGAGGGACACGGGGCAGTGGGGACCTGGCAGTGCTGGGGGATGGTTGGACTGGATGATCTTAAAGGTCTCTTCCAACCATAAGAAACAGTGTAAGAAAATAATATATCTATAAAAATAATGTGGAAAGATAGCTATCAAAATAATTTAGAAATATATTTGACAAAACTCTACATGTTAAAAATTACCTAAAGAAGAAAGTCTTCTAGTTCTAAGACACTGAAAGGATTATCAAAGTGATGGAATCTATTTTTTTGAGGCTGAAAGAAGTGTTTTTCATCTGAAAAAGAATGTCCAAGGCGTTCCTGTTGAATGTTTTCCCTCCTTCTTCTTTTTCAGGATCATATCTGTGCAGGTGGATGAAAGCAACCCTGCAGAACTGAGGCTTGGTCCATCAGCAGAAATGAGCCCCATGAATATCTCCAACTTCTACGCTGGTGGCATTCCAGCAGGAGAGGGCATCCTGGGGCTGAAAATGGCTGGCTCCTTTCATGGCTGCATCAGCAATCTCATTTTTAACAAGGAGTAAGTCAGAGGGGGAGCTGCCCTGTGTCAGAAATCTGTGTGTGTCCATTATTAATTATTTACAATATAATTATTTATAATAATTAACTCATTTGCAGTCTCTTCCATGACCTTGTCCATATAATTCTGTGCTTCTCCATCTTTTTATCCCAGTGTGCCACTTCTCTCCCTTCCCCCCTTTACCAGTGGAAGACCCTGTAAAATACTCCTGTGGTGCCTGGGGAATTTAGGGGTTCAGGATTTCACCTCTTAACGTGGGGTGTTTTTATAACACAGGCTTTTGTATTTCACCACTTCCCTGAAGTATGAAAACGTGGGTATGGACAGCTGCTTTTTGTCAGAGAAGCCTAAACCAGCCATACATCCAGAAGACTTTGAGATTCAACCTGAGCTCCAAGCTTTACCAGTTCCCCTGAGACCTCTAACAAACACCAAAAAAGTAGGTATTGCAGCCAAGCTTTATTGCCTCTTCTAGGAGAATGTTCAACAGCAAGATGCAGTTGAGTTTTGTGGGGAATTTTTGAAGGACAGACCGTGTATATTTGCTGCTTCTATGATATGGTTGAATGACTGTGGATTTGGAATTATTTCTCACAGAAAAACTGTGATAGAACCTTTTGTAGCAGGCTGTTGGAGTTTTGGAAGGGACATGTAGTTGGGTTTATCAACAACAATTAAAAAAAAAAAAGAAGAAAGAGAAAGTGGAATGATAATCCCCCAGCAGAACATGAAAACTCAGCTGTGTTGAAGAAGAAGCCAGTGTCACTTCTGTCCTACAGCTCCATGTCTTCAAAACTGTTTCCAAAGCATCCCAAAATCATTTCTCTGTGGTAACAGACAGCAGGATTATAAAAGTCTCAAACTGTGGCTATAAAAAGAAAGAAGCTGTCCTCCTTAGGGCTGAAGTAGAGCTTTGCTTCATAGCCTATTACTCGACTCTCCATCCCCTAAGTCACAACAAAAATGTGCACCCACACTAAATGCAGAGATGCTTCTACTGAGTCCACAGGTTTTCACACTGAAATTGTGCTCTGTCATCCAGGGTTTGTTATCCAAAAGGCCATCAGTGGTGAGAAATGGTGGATGGGTGCTTCTCAAACTACAAATGTTTCTCAGTGGAAGAGATTGGTGCTGCCCATGAGGTGCAGCTTAACCACTGCAATTAATTCCAGGGCCACAACAATGCTCTGAGGGCTGGAACCCCTCTGCTGGGAGGCCAGCAAGAGAGAGTTGGGGTTCTTCAGCCTGGAGAAAAGAAAGCTCCAGGGAGACCTTCTTACACTCTTCCAGTACTTCAAGGGGCCTGGCAGAAAGCTGGGGACAGAATTTTAGCAGGGGCTGTTGGGACAGGACAAGGGGGGATGGTTTGAAACTAAAAGAGGGAGATTTAGACTAGAGAGAAGGAAGAAATGTTTGACCCTGAGGGTGGTGAGATGCTGTCCCAGGTTGCCCAGAGAGGTGGTCACTGCCCCATCCCTGGAACCATCCCAGGGGAGGTTGGATGGTTTTGCTCCTTATGAAGTTCTGTGTGGGCCTGTTGCTATTCAGTACTTGCTGGTCAGCCCCTCACAATGTTCTTCTTAATAAAGTCCTTTCATTAACAGGTAATTTGTGCAAAGGATGAGCTACCTGACCCTATTCAAGGTGCCCATCAATTTGGACTTGCCAAAGGCAGCCACTTGACTCTGCTCTTCAATCAGTCCACTGTCAGGAAGAAGTGAGTATATCCTAAATCACACACCCCCAGAGTGTCTTCTCTTGCATGGAGCTACAAGAAGCACAGGGATGGTTTTTATGAGTGGTCATTACCAGCTTTGAACGTGGCCCTTGCTTCAGGTTTCTGTGGGTCCCTCATGGAAGAAGGTGTCATGACCACCTCCATGGATTCATTCCCAGCTTTGTGGTCATGACATCTCACCCTCTCTTCTGAATTCTCTGCAGTTGCACCTTCCATGCCTGCTTCACTCCCCAGGTCACTGAAGGAGTCCAGACTCCTGAGAAGAACCATTCTGTTGAGGCTGAAGGTGTGATAGCCTCTCTGCCACTCTTCATTCTTTAAGAGGTTCTCAAAACTCAGCCTGCAAGCCACTTGCTTGTGCTTCCTTCAACTCAGGAAGCCTCTGCAGGCATTGAGAAATGAGCCTGGTTTTGCTTCTAGCCCTTCTGTCCTAACTATTGAACATCAGGAGGATGGACATGACGTGGTCTGAGCCTGGTGCCTCCACAACAACTGTCTCAACCAGCTGCTCTGCCCTGGGAGCCTCCCTCTGTTCTCAGACTGCTTGTCATATCCCAGCCAGCCTGGCTGATAGCAGTGGGTGCCATCACCTTGTCCTGGCTTTGGTTCCTTCCTTGGGGCAGCAGAAGAGCCTGCAGTGACAACAGCTGAGCCTGTCCCTCCTAGAGCCCAGCTCACTCTGTGACCAGCATTTTTAATTCTCTCTGACAGATCCAGCACTGATTTCTCTGATGATATCCATTCTAGGTCATCCTTTCTTAAAACCAACCCAAATCCCACCTTTCTGGCCTTTGTAATAATAAATATTCTTTCATAATAAACTGCTTGAGGCTGTTCTCTGCCTCCAGAAAAGCTTTTTCTCCATGCAGAAGAAATATTCTTCAATAACTCTACATTTTCTTATTGCCCAGACTCTCCGTCCAGCTGAATCTCAGAACCTTTGCCTCCAGTGGGCTGATTTACTACATGGCTCACCAGAACCAGGTTGATTATGCAGCTCTGCAGCTTCTTGGTGGACAGCTCTACTTCTCCTTTGATCTTGGCAAAGGAAGAGCAGTGGCTTCTCACCCTGCTGTCATCAGTGATGGGAAATGGCACACGGTAGGTGGTCACCAGCCTTGCCCTCCCTTTTCCCTCCCCTGGAGTTGCTGAAATGGTTTTTCTCTCCCTTTCCTGTGTTGCAAAGGTGAACAGGTTCTCCCTCAGTCATAAAACTATTCAGTTTTAATGTCTGAGTGTCATTTCCTTTTAAAATTCTCATTAATGGAATGGTTTGGGTTGGAAGGAGCCTTTTAAAGGTCATCTAGTCCAACCCCTCTGCAGTGAGGCAACCTGGGCAAGGGTCTCACCACCCTCTTGTAAATAATTTGTTCCTTCTCTGTAGTCTAAATCTCCCTCTTTTAGTTCCAAACCATCACCCCTTGTCCTGTCAGTATTATGCATTGAATCCAACTACTGCTGAGTGTCTCAGAATATTTAAAATTAAAATAACTCACTAACTAGGTTGCCCAGAGAGGTGGTAGAAGCCCCATCCCTGGAAGGATAAACCCTCACCCAGGGCTCTGAGCACCCTGCTCTAGCTGCAGATGTCCCTGCTCCCTGCAGGGGGGTTGGACTGGGTGACCTTGAAGCCAAACCCAAATCATTCCATGATTCTGTGTAATAATAGTCATCTTCACCAGAGAAGAACACAACAGAGAGAACTAGAAACCTTTCCACAGACAGCTGTCCATGCACTGCATCATTAATGAGATGCAAATGAGTGTGTGACAGATTTGTGGGGGCACAGTTTCTCCTTTCTCCCACTCCTTGCATAACACCTGAGCATGTCACAGCAGCTACTGCCCATGGAACCACCCTCTTTCCTTCCCTTGGCTGGAGCAGCTTGAGGAAGGCAGAGATTTGGAATGAATGGAGCCTGGAGGAGGAGAACTTGGCCTAAGGAGACTTTGAGAAGGGATTTTGGGTGCTGCTTCCAGTTGTCACATAGCATTCAGGGCCTTCTGTAGAAAGACAGTGGCTAGCTCTGCCTCTCTTCATCAGAAATGACTGTGATGTCCTTGTGAGTTTTAAAACCAGCTCTGGGTGACAATACTCACCCTGCTCAGCTTCCCTTCCCTTCCCTCATCCATGTGTTGAGCCACAAGTCCAGGAGCTGCCTTCTGGGGGACAAAAGGGATGGAGGACTCCAAGTTGCCACCTCTCCTAGATGCCCTGGCAATCAGCAGGTGGTTTTTTTCCAAGAAAAGGAGAAAAAAAACTAGAAAAAAATGAATAAAAAGAAAGCCAACATGAACTTCTGTCAGAGGGAGATCTCACCACTAAACTCTGCTGCCTGCCCTCCAGGGAAGAACCCTCTATTAAACACACTCACATAAAGCTCCTGCTCTCAGGGTTCACTTTTTAAGAGGTGAACAGATTCCACAGGAGAGCTGATCTCCCCTTACTACCCAGGACATAAATACAGGAGCTTGAACCTTTTTTTTTGGAGGTTAAAGCTGAGTCACACCACTTCATGGCCGAGGTCATTGCTGCAGCAGCTCAGCAATCAACTGAAGCTAATAGGTGTTGCTGCTGAGAGCAGCACTTTCTGTCCTCTCCATCTGCTCCCACCACCCTGCTCCACCACTTCATCTCCCCAGCAACCCAGATGTTTGTGAAACCTCGTGGTGAACCTGGTCAGGACTCTGAGTAGGGCTAAAATTAACCCAAGGACAAATAAATGGCTTGCTGGATTCAAATGAGGTCCCTCAGCTGCATAGTGGCTTTAGTGCAAGGAAGGCACAGGGGCAGGAGGGGACAAGATGGACAGAACTGGAAAGCCCAACTCTATGAGGTACTTGTAGCCTGAGGCAATCAGCCAGTGGGTTTAAATAAGCATAGAATTGTTTGGGTTGGAGGAGACCTTTAAGGTCATCAGGTCCAACCATCCCCCAGCACTGCCAGGTCCCCACTGCCCCGTGTCCCTCACCCCACATCTCCACGGCTTGGGAACCCCTCCAGGGGTGGGGACTCCACCACTGCCCTGGGCAGCCTGGCACAGCCCTGGACACCTCTTTCAGGAAAGACATTGTTCCTCAGGGCCAACCTCAACCTCCCCTGGGGCAACTTGAGGCTGTTTCCTCTTGTCCTGTCCCTTGTCCCTTGGGAGCAGAGCCCGCCCCCCCCCTGGCTCCAGGCTCCTGTCAGGAGCTGTGCAGAGCCAGAAGGTCTCCCCTGAGCCTCCTTTGCTCCAGGCTCAGCACCCCCAGCTCCCTCAGCTGCTCCTCCCCACACTTGGGCTCTAGACCCTTCCCCAGCAGCTCCGTTGCCCTTCTCTGGCCACGCTCCAGCCCCTCAAGATCCTTGTTGGAGTGTGGGTCCCAAATTGAACCCAGGATTTGAGGAGCAGGCTGCATCAGTTGTCAGGATTCAACTGCATTCTGAAATGGCCTCAGCCTCACAATGAATCTCCAGAGGACACCTCAGTACAGTGTGTCAAGGCAACGTGACCCCTGAGAAGATGTCTTGTTGTTTGTGGTGACCATGTAACTGGTTCAGTTACTGATGGATGTTTCTATGCTCTCATTTTTTTGCAGATAAAGACAGAATACGTTAAAAGAAAAGGTCTCATCCTTGTGGATGGGCAGGAATCTGCAGCAGTTGGTGCTCTGGGAGATGGCAGCACTTTGGATGTGGAGGGGAAGCTCTACCTGGGAGGTCTCCCCTTAGACTACGTGCCGAAGAATCTTGGGAATGTAAGAATGTTTGGGCTCCTGGGGTGTCTCTGACATTTGGCAGTGCTAGAATGAGTCCTCTGCATCAGACCTGTCTAATTCAGGCCTAATTCATGCTGCCTAATTCTGGCTGACAGGGAGAACTTAGAACCATACAGTGGTTCAGGTTGAAAGAGACTTTAATGACCATCTAGTTCCAACACTTCTGCAGTAAGCAGGGATATTTTCAACTAGACTGAGCTGCTCAAAGCCCCATCCAACCTGGGATGAACAATTCCAGAGCCTCTCTGGGCTTTGTGAGGCTGTTTTGGCTGTCACCACTCACCTCCTTATGTTCCATAAAACTTAGAGTTTCCAGGAGGATCTTCTCCATGATCTTGCTGGGAAAGGGATCATCACTTAGGGAGAGACACAACAAAGGAAGTAATGACCCTTTACCAGACAAATCTTTTCAGCTTTCTATGGCTTTGTGACTCTTAACTAGAGCTTGTACCCTTGTGCTTTAGCAGTGGCCCTTTATAGATTGTATTTCTTTTATCAATTTCTCTGTTAAAAGTGGATGAAGAATATAAATTGCTGGGATTATATAAGGTGAAAATATGACCTAGAATCTTAGGCACTTTGGTATCTGAGTCCTACTGCATTGAAGTAGGAATTAGGTGCCTTAAATCTCTCTAAAACCTGGGTTTAACTCCCTGAGATTAAAACACACTCTTTTTACAGATGGTTTTAGAGGGTAGGTTTTTCCTCACCTTCCTCCTTGTGCATTTCATTGTCTCAGGAAGGATTCTGGTGGTGATAAAAAATGTGCCTCGGTTCCTAACATAGTTTCTTCACCCAGTTCTTTTTAATTGGATGATGGGGCTAACAAATATTTGAATACTGTGGATCTGCAGTGGTTAAAAGCAGCAATAGTGAGTAATTCTAATGAATCTTTTAGCTGGACAGAACTCTGGTGATCTGTCCTTGTGAAAATGTATTACAGAATTGTGATTTTCGTGTAAATTTTTGAAAGGAAAATGTTTGAAACCAAAAGAAGGAGGTTTAGACTTGAGAAAAGGGAGAAACTGTTGATGCTGAGGGTGGTGAGATGTTGTCCCAGGTTGCCCAGAGAGGTGGTCACTGCCCCATCCCTGGAATCATCCCAGGGGAGGTTGGACACAACTCTGAGCACCCTGCTCTAGCTGCAGATGTCCCTGCTCCCTGCAGGGGGTTGGCTTAGGTGACCTTTGAAGGTCCCTTTCAGCCTAAAATATTCTCTTTCCATTAATTCTCTACATTATGGAGAGGTAATACTGTGTTTCTAAGCAATATTTATTCTGACTCAAAGACTTCATGTACATTTCTAACCCTCGATGAGCATATGGAAGAAACAGAATCACATAAATACTTCAGATCCTGCTGTGTTTGGTCCAGAGAGCTTTTTATTTACAGCAACATCAGGGGAATGACCAGGGGAGCAGGGCAGCAGTTTGCATGTCATGTTACCTCTCATTTCAACATGCTTAGGTGACTCACAGCATCCCTGCCTGCCTTGGTGACATGACAGTCAACAGCAAGCAGCTGGACCACGAGAGCCCTGTCTCCATCTTTGCTGTGAATAAATGCTACCAAACAGCACAGGAAGGTTCTTTCTTTGATGGGAGTGGTTTTGCTGCTCTGGGTAAGTGTCATTCAATGAAAGAAGTACCTTAGTTAATTAAAGTTAATGAAAACATGCTCGTTTTAGGTTTTGTTGGCAGTGTAGATGATGAATTGGCTCCTCACTCAAAGAGTGTGTGGCCTGTGTGTGTATTTCTGAGTCCCTTTCAAGCCCAAAGTGGCCATTCTGCAAAGGGCTGTCTTCCAAAAATGGAAGAGGTGATGACTGGAGCACTGGGAAAGAAGTGAGCTGCCTCTTTCTTCAGCTGAGAATATCTGTTCATGATGTTAAGGGCTATTAAAGGGTATGGAGGCCAAGCCCAAAGTGGCCATTCTGCAAAGGGCTGTCTTCCAAAAATGGAAGAGGTGATGATTGGAGCACTGGGAAAGAAGTGAGCTGCCTCTTTCTTCAGCTGAGAATGATGTTAAGGGCTATTAAAGGATATGGAGGCTGAAGACACAGGTACCTGTGAAGTGATGTGAAGGATTTCATTGATGTGTTCCCACTGCCATTTCTTACAAATAATAGAATGTATCAAGTCTAAAATAATTGAAAAAAGCTTATTTGGGGACTGATATTTTCCAGTATAAAATGTGAATTATGACTTGTAGCTCAAATTTGTGCCTACTGCCCCTTGTCAATGGTGCCCAGCAAGAGGACCAGCGTCTAGACCCATCCTTGGGGGCCCTTTAGCTCTTGCTCAGCATGGATCAGATTCCCTCTGAGCTTCTCTTCTCCAGCTCAACAGCCCCAGGGCTCTCAGCCTTTCCTCAAAAGGACAATGTACATCTTCTACTTCACACTATGGGTTACAAGTCTTTTCTGAGAGGCTTATAACTTCTTTGCAGTCAGAGAAGGCTACAAAGTGCTCTGGGAGGTGACCATCACGCTGGAGTTCCGGACGACGGCGCCGCACGGCGTCCTCCTGGGCATCAGCAGTGCTAAGGTTGATGCTGTTGGACTGGAGATGGTGAATGGCAAGGTAGGCTGCCCTATGGCACACCCATTTCACAAGGCTCCCTTGGAACTGGGAGGTTGGAACTGTTGGGTAGCACTGGAGAGACACCAGTGGGGTGGGATGGAGACAAAATGTCCAGATCAAATCCTCAAAGAACTGGTAGGGGATAGACTTTCACTCTGAGAGTCAGTGGAACTTTTTGGCTTTCTAATTAGTGTAATTTATGTTAGTTTGCAGCCACAGTGACCTTGACTAAAGGCCTTGTCTGTTAGACCAAAGATGTTCACCTTTCCTGTAGCTTAATTGTTTATCTGCCATGTTGCTCCTCCTGTCCTTGATAAACTTATAAACTTAATAAATCTTATTGCAGGTACAAAGTACCCTGTTTTGTCATCTCTTCTTCACCATCCACGACCAATTAACTCCCTCTCTATTTCCATTACCCTCCCTAAACCTTTTATCAATCAATACACAGTCATCCACTCATCTCCTGCATAAAAAATGTATACTTGATTGCTCACAAGTATTTCCTTTTCTCAGAAATAGCTCATTTTTTATTCAAAACTTCCTAGCTGCAGACAGTGTTAGATATCACTGTTCCTGGGGGACAAACTTGCTCAGCTAATATTTACATACAAATCCTCACCACAGAGTTGAGGGGCTGTCTGCTGCTTTGAAAAATAAAGACATGAAATAAATCGATGGGTGTATTGGAAACTCCAAGTGCTTCCAATCCCTTTGCCATCTCTTCACTTAGACACAATGGATCTTCTCAGAGGTCTTTTCCAACCTTAAGGATTCCATGATTCTTTCAAAGCTGAAGTCTTGCCTTCTGTTGAGATGATGGCTTGATTTGTGTTTGTCAAAAAAACAGAGTGAAATCCCAAGTGAAGTGTAGCAAGATAACCCAACAGCCCAATGCATGGAGAGATCTAAGACTTTTAGACTTCAATCTTTAGATTAAAATCTTTTAAGTCTTTAGATTTTAAAGATATTTCAGTAAGGACACACTCTAGCCAAATGAACATTAACTTTGCATAATTACCAACCATTTATGAAAAGAGAAACCTCTTCCCCAGCACAACTGTGCTTTTTATCCAGGCAAACGAGTTGATGTGTTGGTTCTTTCTCCCTTCCCTGGCATCTGGCTGGTTTTTTACAGGTTTTATTCCATGTCAACAACGGAGCTGGCAGAATCACAGCCACATACGAGCCAAGAGGGGCAAAGAGTTTGTGTGATGGGAAGTGGCACAAACTCCAAGCAAAGAAAAGCAAACACCACGTTTCGCTGAGAATCGATGGGGATTCGGTTCAAATGGACAATCCCCACAGCCAGTCAACATCTGCAGATACCAATGATCCCATCTATGTTGGAGGCTATCCTGGTGGGGACAATAATATTTCTCTTCCCTTCTCACCCTTCTGCTCTCACTCTAGCTCATCAGAATGACTCTTAATGCATGTAGACTCCTTCCTTCATTTTCTGCTGCATGAAGTTCATGATTTATCAGAGTTACTGTTCCCCACGTTGTTCCTGAGCTCACAGCATATTAATATTTGAGCATATTGTCTTTGTGGAGGGCTGCATTTAGCTGTTGAGTGTGTTGCCAAGATCAACTGAGGTCATATGCTGCATAAACCTGCTCCTGAGTTGTGGAGAAGAGTTTCCTCCACATGGTTGGTTTGCCTTCCACAGTCCTCTCAGACTTCACAACAGTTCCGCCTGTGTGTGGTGAGGGTCAGTGGGGACCTGGCAGTGCTGGCTTAATGGTTGGACTCAATCATCTTAAAGGTCTCTTCCAACCAAAATGGATTCCTTGTAGAGCAGCTTACTCCTCTCTTTTCCCCTCTCTTATCTCCCATTGTCCCCTGGGACAAATTATTCCTGTAAACTCTGCACAAGTTGCCCATGGCTCATGCCCAGTGTCTATCCAAGGTGGGATGTCTCAGGTGACCCAAACATGAATGGAACTTGGTGCTCCTCAGATGCTGTTTTTCTCTCTCTCTTGGTAAGGAGGGGAAGCAGCTGACTAATAACCTGGATCTTTGTATTGTTTCAGTTCCCTGGAATTAAATTCTATGTATTTCACATGTCTTTTTCAGCTGATGTGAAGCAAAACTGCCTCACAAGCAAGAACTCCTTCCGTGGCTGCTTGAGGAACCTCGTGCTGACCAGGGGCCAACAGGCAGAGCTGTTTGACTTCAGCAGAGCTTTTGACCTCCGTGGAGTCTTTCCCCACTCCTGCCCTGGGGCTGAGCTCTGAGCTGCAGCAAGGTCTGTCTGGACTGAGAGAGGGGCTGTTTTGCTTCATCTGTTAATTTTCATTCTCATTTTGTAATGAAGAGAAGATCTGGCGAGAGCAAAAATCTCTTTGATTTTCTGGTTGTTTTCCAACTCAGGTAATTTTCTATTTTTTTTAAGTCAGAAGCTCTTTGCATTTAAACTACAAGGTTGTAAACCACAAATACCTCTCCTACAATGTTAATGGCATTAATTGGTTGTTTTTCTTTCGGGAATTTTAATTGATCAGTGTTTACAGTATGTTTTCTTTTGATTGCTTGACAGTATTTCATTTTCTTGTGTGTTGGCCATTTTTATAAAAAAAGGTAATAATTTTGGACCAGCTAATAAAGCTGCAATAAACTGCATTATTTCATGTACTTCACCTGTCCATATGTTTCAGTGAGAAGAAAAAGAGGCAGATGGGTGAGAAGTGAAATGTGTGAGTGGAGAGAATCCAGCAGAGGGAGCAGGAGATTAAAAGCATAATTTTGAAGATCTCATATTCAAATTCAGACTAGAATTTCCTTGTATTTTATATGGTAGCTTAATTATTTTTCCTTCTGCCTCAATATCCAGAGTTTCTGATCCCCATTATAAATGCATTGTCTAGGAAGATCATGTTCCTGTCTATGCTTTCATATGTTGGTGATTGGTTGATAATTGGTGGATTGTAAAAATGATTTGGTTGATTGGTTATGGCATTGGTCTTTTTCTTGTTGGTGATTTAGTGGTCGATTTGGGGCTGGTTTGGGAATAACTCTCTATTTTGTCATTGAGGACTAATATTTTCTTAGGAAAACAGTGTTTCTGACAGGACACAGAGAAGGACTCTGCAGTCCCTAGTTCACAGGCCACTCAGTAGTTCTGTCTTCACCCTTTCCTACCATGCCTGCCTCGATGTCTAAGGTGAGTCTTCCAGTAGTTGTGCCTGAGCCAGCTTTGAGGCCCATGTGCTTGATCTGACTCAAGTCAAGAACATCCATTCATCAGCAGGCTGGGTCTCTGAGCAGTGACAAACAAGTCTCATACTTGAAGATCACAGAATTTTGGGGGCTGGGAGGGACCTTTCAAGGTCATCTAGTCCAAACCTTTTGCAGGGAGCAGGGACATCCCCAGCTAGAGCAGGGTGCTCAGAGTTGTGTCCAACCTCCCCTGGGATGGTTCCAGGGATGGGGCAGTGACCACCTCTCTGGGCAACCTGGGTCTGGGTCTCACCACCTGCACTGTAAGGTGAGTCTATGATAAACATAATTCTTTACAAGTCACTTTCTTGTGTTTCTCTTTGAACTAACAGTTGCTAGTTTGCCCCTTAAAATTTTCTTTGGCTTTTACTGTGTGTTTTTACAGTTCCTTCTACATTCAGCTTTGCTCCGTGTATTTCATTCTAGTCTAAAACCCACTGGTTGAAATGAAACCCTGAAGCAGTTTGTTACTGATTTCAATGAGGCAGGATTCCAGAACTGTCATTTTATACTCTCTTCAAAGAGAAGAGCTCCTGCAGCAAAGCAGCAGAACGTGGTGCTTTGTGTAGCCAACTTCAGCTGCTAGAAGAAGAATTACTTTTAAGAATGACTCAATGCTGATTTTTTTTTGCTAATTCTGCCACTTCCTTCTACCCAGAACACAAGTGCTTAGGTTTGAAGAGGTTTCTTTTGTGGGTATGGTTTTTATTTTTGACAGGGATACAATACAATGGACACATTCTGTAGAAATACACTTACACATGGGCTTACTTTAACAAAACACGTAACAAAAGGAGGATAAGTAAGGGAAACATACATACAAACATTTTACTTTGATTAGTGGCATTGTATTATTTTCCAGAGAAGACACAAATTGATGGAAAAACCATTGAAAAGACAAAAACTGAAACACAGTACGTCTGTATTTGTTGCCTATTAACCCCAAAATCTGTGTTTGTTGCCTATTAACCCCAAAATCTGATCTTGTAAGACTCACTTTACAAGCAGCATTTGAGGCAACGTGGTTTGAGTTAAATTTCACCCAGATCTTCTCATAGTTTATTTAATACACAATTTTTTTGGCAGTTTCCATTTCCTGCCCCGTAGAAACGCTGTCGATGTAAAGGATGAGTGGAGAGGTGGAATGAAGAACTGAAAGTTATGGAAGAGTAAGTCTCTAAGCCAAAATATTTTTTCTTTCCTGGAAAATGCAGAGTTGAGGTAGTTTGATCTGATACAGAGACATGAAAGTGTCTGCACACACATCTTCTAGTGATGTTGGCTGCAGAAACAGGGCAAGTCCAGTCCCTTTCCACACCCTCTGTGTGTTGACATGCAAAATGCTGTCTCTGTAGAACCATGGAGCACACAAATACTTGAGGCATCTTTGGACTTGGCTGAGGAGGCTTCTCCTGGCTTGCCACCACTTTGTCATTAACAGCTTTCCACACGTTGTTGCTTTTTGTTAGGTGATGATCCCATCTTAACTCAGTTTGGACTTCAACAGCTGGGAGGAGGAACAAAATCTCCTGGTGCCTCCTTTGAAACAGAAGGCTTCCAGTTGAGACCTCCTATTCAAAAACCTCTGTAGAGATGGGGTTGGTTTGTTGTGGGTTAAATCAAGCTGGTGCACCACAACACCACGAACCAGCTTAGTGTGGAACAGGATTAACCACCCTACACCTAGGTCATGAGGTCCATTTCCAAAAAAGAAAAGGATTTTGCCACTCTGTCTCTGAGACAGGAAGTGTTTGGCCATGCTGTAGGAGCCTGGGCACTGGGGGTAGGATCTCATTCATCTTGGAAACCTGTAGACAATTTTAGGATGAAAGGTTGGATTTCACTCCATCCCACCAGATTTGGCGTTCTGAAGTTGCCAAGTGGTAGAAGGTGGAAATCTTCCCAAACCCTCTTATGGAACACAGTGATATCTATTTCAGAAAGAATTTTGAAGTCCTCTTTTTTGGGGTCCATAACACGTTGAGCAAGAGCATGTAGGTGCTCTCTGCTTTCCTTCTCATGGCCATTGAACATGGAATGAGGAGAAGGGGTGAGATGAAGGAGTTTGATGTGTTTGTCTGAAAGTACTGTAGAGTTACCTCATTTGCTATGGCTTTTTAAGTTCTTTAGTTAATTTTTAGGTTAATTTTTAGTCATAATTTTATGACTGTATAGTCATAAAAGCTCTTCTGCTGTCTATAAATCCAACGACTCTTCATAGGATGCTCTTCATGTTCACAGTGCTGAGTTTGGCCTTCCTAGATGGATGTTTATAACTCCTGAGCTGCTCAGGGAATTGTTTGGCTGCATCAAAAAGCATAATTTAACTCAACTAATTATCATGTTACTTAATAAACAGAGTCCCAGTCCTGTTATGCAGCCAAAGGAAGAGGGCAGCGTAGTATGAAGAGTTGTTCACAGAGGGAACTAAAGGGAATTGGGAACAAAACACTTGACAAAATGTTCATGCTTAGTCCTATGAACAAGCCACAGATCTACTCTCTCATATACTTAAAATAAATAGGTGTCAAAATAAGTAGTGTATTTTATAATACAACTGTCCTGGTCTTTTCCTGGCTGCAACTATGCATCCATTAGTGTTAAGAAAGAAAAATAAAAGAAGAAAAGTGAAAATTTTCACTGTTTTAAAGAAAATGGAAGAGAAACAGTGCTAAATTTTAGCATCTTCTGTCTCAAGAAGGTAAGACTTAAAACCAGATATTATTGTTTCTGATCAACTGACTGATTCAATGTTGATTCCTTTCACTGAATGTGAACTTCTGGAGAACACAATTCACTTTGAACCAGAAGTAAGTTTGTAAACTCTTGGAGGACATGGTTCAGAACACTTCTACATGGCTATCTGGTAAACAGGAGCACCAGCTTCTGCCTGGCTTGTTTGTCCAAACCACCCCCACTGCTCAGGCTGTGGGTGGGTTCATTGTGCAGCTTCATCATCCAATGCTGGAGACTTTGGTGAGCAGCTGAAGACATCAAAAATGACAGTTGCCTCTTTTTGCACGCCAAGACAAGGATGAAAAGAATACTTGCCATTTTTCCAGAGACTTGTGATTTCCCTCCTACACCAAAAACATGCTTTAACTCTACAAAGTATAGCCCAAAATTACAGAATTGGGTGAAGAATGGTGCTCATCCTTGTGCTGGGCTACAAAGGAGTCTTCCATGTGCTGTTCTGCCCTCCTAATGCAGCCCAACGTTCTCTCATCACCTCTGTGTCTCCATGAGCTGGGTTCCTTCCATAAAGGAGCTGCACTTTGCTATGTGTTTGTAAAAATCTTGAACAAAACCCCCAAATTTGGCCTAGTTTGGCCCTGGTTTTAAGGCCCTAGTGTGTAAATGTTAAAGAAGGATATTAAATCCCTCTCCTTGTTGGAAGCTCTTCTCCATGTTGTATTATACAAGGTCCAGAGATCTCTCTGCTCAGTGCAGCTGAATAGTCTAAAAGTGGCTTACAGGTTAAAGCTAAAATACTGAAATTACTGAAAACCCAAATTTTGAACAGGATTTGGGCTACAGATTAAGAAACTATAATGTCTAACAAAGATGATGGGCTGCAAGTGGCACCATGAACACACCCCTCCTGTGATGGCACGACAGACTTCAATCTGAGAGCATCAAGTGAAAGGCAGAGCCAGAGGAACGTGCCCCTTCTCACCTTGATTTGTCTCCTGGAGCTTGTGTGTGTGACTGGGGAAAGTTTGACCCAGACAAGATGGTTTTGGGGAGGCTGGTGGTTATCTGTACAGTGGTAGGTCCATGAAGCAGGACAGCTGTCTCTACAGCAGCTCTTCCTCCTGCCTCCCTCCCTCCTCCAGCAGCAGCTACTCATGGGGAGCGACTGGGAGGCAGAAATGTTGCAGTGCTGCACCCTGCAGGGGTTTACTTTGGGCAGGAAGGTTTGGGTTTGTCACACAGCCCTGTCTTGGTGCTGCTGCAGGTCGACCTCCTCTCTTACACCCTTGGCAGATACCTCCTTGAATGTCTCTGTGATGCTTCT